GCCCCAAATATTTGCACAGGCCGGGCCAAAGCCCGGAGCTGGGAACTCCATCCAGGTCTCCCACATGGTGGCAGGGACCCTGGCGCTTCAACCATCACCATCGTCCACTGCTGCCCAGGGTGCACGTGATCAGGAAGCTGGGGTCAGAAGCAGAGCCAGGACCTGAACCAGGCACTCAGACATAGACTATGGGTCCCAAGTGACATCCAAACTCCGTGCACTTTTATAAACATGGAAGACAATGCTGGAATCTCCGTTGGTCACTCACCCTGCTCTGGGCCCGAGGAAGCTGTGTCTGTGAATGCGGCCAAGTGCCTCCTCTCCAGGGTGGCTTCCGGCTCCAGCTGCCCCGTGGGAGACTTGGGACTGGGAGAGGGTACACTGGAGCACTGACTCCCCAGCTCCCCACATGCCGGCCACTGTGGCCTGGACGCCTTTGTCCTCCAAGCACGCTGTTCCCTGCCCCAGGCTCTGCCCCTTCCAGCGCAGCTCCCTCTGCTGCTCGCCCAAGGTACTGCACTGCGGCTTTGGGTCTCCTGTTCCCTGCCAGCCCCTGGACAGTGTCTCAGTGTTGTGTGTGTGCAGGGCTTGGCTTGCCCCAGCTGTGAGAGCTGCTTGTTTCAACCCTACCCAGCCCTGCACCGAAGGAGCAGAACGAGCTGACGGTCTGCAGCTTGGCGGCCGGCACAGGTCCCGGCCGGAGAGCCCTGCTGCCCTCTGCCCAGTGGACCGGCACCGTGCTGCGGCCTCGTCTTTCTGAACCCTCCAGGCGTCCTGCTTTGAATCTTCTGTCCGCTGGTTCACTCCCCAAATGGCTGCAACAGCCAGGGCTGGGCCAGGCTGAAGGAACTCGAGATTCATGTATATATATAGGGCTCAGTACCACCTGCGGTCTAGGCGTCCATGGGAGGCCCCAAGACGTCTTGGAAGACTTTATGGTTACTTGTCCCAGTTGCTGAACATCTTTAGCTCGTAAACTAGCAAGTCTGATTTCCAGCTCCGCACGTCAGCAGGTTTTGTTTTTGTTTTTGACAGGCAGAGTGGACAGTGAGAGAGAGAGAGACAGAGAGAAAGGTCTTCCTTTGCCGTTGGTTCACCCTCCAATGGCCACCGCGGCCGGTGCACCACGCTGATCCAAATCCGGGAGCCAGGTGCTTCTCCTGGTCTCCCATGGGGTGCAGGGCCCAAGCACCTGGGCCATCCTCCACTGCCCTCCCTGGCCACAGCAGAGAGCTGGCCTGGAAGAGGGGCAACCGGGACAGAATCCGGCACCCCGACCGGGACTAGAACCCGGTGTGCCGGCGCCACAGGCGGAGGATTAGCCTAGTGAGCCGCGGTGCTGGCTAACGTCAGCAGTTCTTACACGTACAGGCCCTGTGCTAAGCATTTTGCCCATTTTCTCTTCTTTAATCCTCGTATAAATCCTGACCCCAACAACCTGGGCTGTCACTCCCAGGATGCACACCGGCAGAAGGCTGGAGCCGCAGCCGGGTGCCCTGCAGGAGCTGCAGCCGGGTAGGCTGGGACGGTCACGTCTTCCCACTGAGCAGGAGCAGCAGCCAGGTACGGCTGGGACGGCCGCGTCTTCCTGCCGGCTGGATGCCTGCTCCTGCGTTGCATTTGCTTTATTAAACACTGTGAGCGTCAAGGACGAGAAGGTGTTGGTGTGCTCAGCCGTGCTGGAAGGACGGGGCACTTGGTGCCCCAAGAGGAATAGGAGGTTGGAGAGTGGGGAGAGCCGGGCGAGGGCTGGGGGCTGGGGACCAGACAGCTAGGGTAGGAGGAGGAGCTGCGGCGGTGACGGTGACGGCGTTCCTCACCCTGGGAGCCACTGCGGCGGGGCACGTGGCAGAGAGCAGCAGTGATTCTGCAGAAGTCACTGCTTCCTGGAAACTCGGGCCACCGGGGCCTGAGGAACCACAGGAGAGCGCCAGGGGAGACCTGGGGGCACACGCCTGAGCCCGCCGGCTCTCCCAGGCCTCAGCAGTCCAGCTCCGCCCCACCTGCCCCTCCTGACTTTCAACTCTATGTTTTATTTTGTAAAAGATTTATTTATTTATTTGAAAGTCAGAATTACGCAGAGAGAAGGAGAGGCAGAGAGAGAGAGAGAGAGGTCTTCCATCTGCTGATTCACTCCCCAAATGTCCGTAATGGCCAGAGCTGGGCTGATCTGAAGCCAGGAGCCAGGAGCTTCTTCTGGGTCTCCCACATGGGTGCAGGGGCTCAAGGACTTGGGCCATCTTCTACTGCTTTCCCAGGCCATAGCAGAGAGCTGGATCAGAAGTGGAGCAGCCGGGACTTGAACCAGCGCCCATATGGGATGCTGGCACTACAGGCGGCGGCTTTACCTACTACACTACAGTGCCTGGCCTCCAATATTTATTTATTTAAAAATGTTTTCAGGCCGGCGCTGCGGCTCAACAGGCTAATCCTCTGCCTTGCGGCGCCGGCACACCGGGTTCTAGTTCCGATCGGGGCACTGGATTCTGTCCCGGTTCCCGGTTGCCCCTCTTCCAGGCCAGCTCTCTGCTGTGGCCAGGGAATGCAGTGGAGGATGGCCCAAGTGCTTGGGCCCTGCACCCCATGGGAAACCAGGATAAGTACCTGGCTCCTGCCATTGGATCAGCGCGGTGCGCCGGCCGCAGCACGCCAGCCGCGGCGGCCATTGGAGGGTGAACCAACGGCAAAGGAAGACCTTTCTCTCTGTCTCTCTCTCTCACTGTCCACTCTGCCTGTCAAAAACAAAAACAAAAACAAAACAACAACAACAACAACAAAAACCAAAAATATTTTCAGTTACTTATTTGAGAAGCAGAGAGAGGGAGACAGACACACAGAGAGGCAGAGTGTGCTTCCCTCCTCTGGTTCAGTCCCCACATGCCAGCCACATGTGTGACTGGGCTGGGGCGAAGCCAGGAGCCTGGAGCTCATTCCAGGTCTGCATGTGGGTGGTGGGGCCCAATTACACAGGCCGTCACCACTACCTCCCCGAGTTTGCATTAGTAGAAATCTGGAGTCAGGAACCGGAGCCAGAGAGCAAACCAGGCACTCCTCTGTTTTTTTGTGTCTTAACCTCTAGGCTGAGCTATACGAGTTAGTTATTTGAAAGACAGAATTACAGAGAGGGAGAGACAGAGACAGAAATATCTTCCATCCTCTGGTTCACTCCCCAGATGGCCGCGCCGGTTGGGACTGGGCCAGATAGAAGCTAAGAACCAGGAACTCCATCCGGGTCTCCCACATGGGTGCAGAGGCCCAAGTTCACTGGAGAGGCTGGCACCAGGACAGCCAGGGCACAGGAAGAAGAGACCTGGTGCAGAGCAGGGAGAGCAGTCAAGGCAGAGCCCAGCACAGCTGTCCCAGCCTAACGGGGCCCTCAGCCGGTTGCTTGGCCTCTCCGGGTGTCTCTGAGGAGGATGGGGAAACCAGTGACTCAGAACAGTGCATCGGCAAGGAGCGTGGGGACCCTAATCAGTCCTCCAGGGGGCATTAGTCTCCCCATTTCCAGGTGGCCCCCGCTAGTAGGGTTGGAGGCAGCAGGTGAGGGCTCAAGTGCTTGGGCCCTGCCACCACTGTGGGAGACCTGGATGGAGCTCCTGCCTCCTGACTTCAGCCTGGCCCAGCCCTGGCCATTGCAGCCATTGTTGGGGTGGACCAGTGGATGGAAGATCTCTCTCTGCCTTTCAAATAAATAGATCTTTTTTTTAAAAAAAGTCATAGCCTAGGGGCCGGCGCTGTGGCTCACTTGGTTAATCCTCCGCCTGTGGCACTGGCATCCCATATGGGGGCCGGGTTCTAGTCCCGGTTGCTCCTTTTCCAGTCCAGCTCTCTGCTGTGGCCCGGGAGTGCAGTGGAGGATGGCCCAAGTGCTTGGGCCCTGCACCCACTTGGTAGACCAGGAAGAAGTACCTGGCTCCTGGCTTCGGGCCAACGCAGCTCTGGCCGTAGCGGCCATTTGGGGAGTGAACCAACAGAAGGAATACCTTTCTCTCTGTCTCTCTCTCTCACTGTCTAACTCTGCCTATCATATAAATAAACAAAACAAAAAAATAATAATAGCCTATAGTCACTTTTCCAGCTCAGCATATCTCCCTCATTCTTACAAAAATAAAGCAGGCAGTACCTGCTGCATTCTATTTTGTGGATTTGCTATAATGTGCTCGATCATCCGCCCTTGGTCCACATTCCAAGTGTTTCCTGGTTTCAGCTATTTTAAACAATGTTGCTGTGCCCACTGACACTTAATTTCTGGTTCTCTCAAGTTTATGAAAAGTGGCCAAAGCATGTTACACCCTCAGGTGCCTACTCCTGCTGGGGCCCCTGCCTGCTTCTAACTCGGGCTAAAAGAGGAAGGCTGAAGGCCAGGGCTGCTCTCAGCACCACCCAGAGCGGCTGGTGAGGGCGCTGGCTCTGGGCCGCAGCCTTGCGGTTTCCAAGATGCAAAGCTCACCTTGTCAATTTCTGATGTAAATATTCCTCATGGGTTCCTTTACCAAATATTTATTTAACGCATTTGGAAGGCAGAGAGAGAGAGAGAGTGAGAGAGTGAGCGAGCTCCCATCTCTGGCTCACTCCCCAAAGGCCCTAACAGCCAGGACTGGGCCAGGCCGAAGCCAGGAGTTGGGAACCCGATGCAGGCCTTCTGTGGGCGGTGGGAGCCAAGCACTTGAGCCATCGCTGCAGCCCCAAAGGCGTCCCAGGTGGCACAGTAAGCACCGCGGCGAAGGCAGGCCCCTCTCGCGGCTGACATTGCTCTCTGGCAGCTGGGACTGGACGGGGACCCGGCTCCTCCTTCCTCTTCAGCCGCATCTTCTCTGGTTCTGCACGTTCCCACCACACCAGCTCTCTTGCATCTTTCACACTTGTCAAGGTCAGACAATGCGGGTAGCAGTGCAGCTGGCAAAGCCACTTCGGCGAACTGTCAGAATTAACACAATCTACATCTCTACCACACTGTGATGATCCCGCCTGGCAGTGAAACGATGCGCTCCAAATTACTATTATTTTTTAAAAGATTTATTTATTTACTTGAAAGTCAGAGTTACAAAGAGAGAGAAGGAGAGGCAGAGAGAGAGAGAGAGAGAGAGAGAGAGAGGGAGAAAGGGAGAGAGAGAGAGAGGTCTTCCATCTGCTGGTTCACTCCCCAAATGGCCGCAATGGTGGAGCTGCGCCGATCCGAAGCCAGGAGCCAGAGCTTCTTCCAGGTCTCCCACGCGGGTGCAGGGGCCCAGGGGCTTGGGCCATCTTCTACTGCTTTCCCAGGCCACAGCAGAGAGCTGGACTGGAAGAGGAACAGCTGGGACTCAAACCGGCGCCCATATGGGATGCTGGCACTACTGGCGGCGGCTTTACCCGCTATGCCACAGCGCCGGCCCCCTCCAAATTATTGAAACAGGAAGTTAGCGGAACATTCTCAGCAGAATAGATGGATCCGTGCGTACAGTGAAATGCTACGCAGCAATGGAGAACCAGTCAGTCCCTGTTCGGCAGCACGGAGGACGCTCCCGAGCAGACGCTGTGAGAATCAGCCCCGTACAATACACTCTGCAGGATCCCTTTCCTGTGGAATTGCCGGGAGGTGAGTCTAAGCTCAAGGGACAGGAACAGCAGGGGCTCCCGGGGCCGGAGGTGATGTGGGGACGGCAACTGGCACAAGGACATTTGGATAGAAGGAGATGTCAGAGGGACATGTTTTTATTATACATCAATGAAGTTGATTCCAGAACAACATCTGGGCCGGCGCTGTGGCGTAGTGGGTGAAGTCGCAGCCTGCAGTGCCGGCATCCCATATGGACACTGGTTTGAGTCCTGGCTGCTCCTCTTCTGATCCAGCTCTCTGCTGTGGCCTGGGAAAGCAGCTGAAGATGGCCCACGTCCTTGGGCCCCTGCACCCATGTGGGAGACCTGGAAGAAGCTCCTGGCTCCTGGCTTCAGATTGGCTCAGCTCTGGCCATTGTGGCCAATTGGGGAGTGAACCAGTGGATGGAAGACCTTTCTCTCTGCCTTTCTAACAAATAAATACATCTTAAAAAAAAGAGAAGAAAAGAAATGAAAAGAAAAACAAAGAAGGTCAGGCTTACCACAACTATTAAAAAACAAAACAAAATGAAAAAACAAAACAAAACACGGGCTGGCGTTGTGGCCTGGGGGTCAAGCTGCTGGTTGAGAAGTCCGTGTTCAAAACCCGGCTGCTCCACTTCCGAGTCATCTCCCGGCCAATGCGCCTGGGAAAGCAGCAGAGGACGGCCGAGTCACAGGCCCTGCGCCTACGTGGGAGACCTGGATGAAACCCAGGGTTCCTGCCTTCAGCCTGGCACTGCCTTGGTTGTTGCAGCTCTTGGGGAGTGAAGCAGCCGGATGGAAAATCTCTCTCGCTGTCAAATAAATAAATCTTTAAAAAGCCAAAAACAAGCAAACATGCAAAACTTGCGGATGGGCGTTTAAGATGCAGTTCAGATGCCCTTGGGACCCTTGCAGCCCATCTCTCAGGGTCTGGTTGGAGTCTGGACTCCACTTCCCGTCCAGCTTCCTGCTAGTGCACACTCTGGGAGGCAGCAGGTGACAGCTCCAGGACCTGGGTCCCTGCCCCCTCCAGGCTTACCACTGGCCGCTGTGGGAATTGTAGATTAAACTGTAAATAAATAAATAAATTAATTAATTAAAAACCAACAGAAAACATGCAAGCCAGTCCTGTGACAGCGGTCGGAGCCGTAGCTGCCTCACACGGGAGGTGGCGCTTTGCAGGCGGCCCCTGAGCCAACCTCTTCTGTCTTAGCCTGAGAGGTGGGTTTGGCGATGCACGCATATGGGGAACCGCAATGCGATTATGTGTTCCATTGTGTCTAATTCATAGCTCTATAAAAAGCTAAATTAAAGTAAAATTTAAAAGTACTGTGGAGCAGCCAGGACTTGACCCAAAGCCCATATGGGATGCCGGCACTGCAGGTGGGGCTTTAGCTGCTATGCCACAGCAGTCCCTCAAAGAACTTTTATTCCAGAGAGTTGCAGACAGACTTGTTGCTCACTCTCGTGCGTTGTCTCTAACTCTGTGTGTGTGTGTGTGTGTGTGTGAGTGCAAATACAAGGAACTCTGTGTGTGTGTGTGCAAATACAAGGGCATTTCACAAACTTTGGGGAATAAAGGGATTAAAAGACGAGTGTATTCTGGTGTTAACAGTTTTTTTAAATCCAGAAGCCACAGGTTGCACGATGATGATGTCACGCGACTCCCACAGCAGAGGTGGCCCTGGGGCCTCCATGGCCACGGCTTACCGGTCCCATTAACCTCAGAATCTTCATTGGAGGCCATTAACCCCGCGAGGGACACTTGCCCACCTGGGAGCAGCCACTGCACTTGGGGAGCCAGAGCTGCTGACTGCCCCGGCTTGGAGCCAGGCTGTCCACCCGGAAGGCAGGGGATGATGGCATCAGGCGGACCCTCAGCAGAGAACGAAGGCAGCCTCACAGAGGGTGAGTGGACACTGAGCACCGAAAGCCAAAGCAGGACAAACAGAGAAAGCCCAGGACTCACCCGGAGACCCGGTCTCACCAGAAATCTGGCTGCGATCACGCTGGCGCTGAAAACACGTTGCACCTCGCTTTCCTCCTCGTGACCTGCCCTGGCCTTTCCTGTTCACTTCCTGGGCTGCAGCGCTACTGGTTAGTTCCTGCTCCAGCCACTCCCTGCTGACCCAGCTCCCTGCCGTGGCCCGGGAAAGCAGTGGAAGACGGCCCAAGTGCTTGGGCCCCGCACCCACCTGGGAGACCTGGATGGAGTTGCTGGCCGTTGGCTTTGGCCTGAGCCACCCCAACTGTTGCAGTCAATTGGAGGGTGAACCACCGGGTGGAAGATCTCCCTTTCTCTGTCTTTCACTCTTTGAAATAAATCCTTAAAAAAGAAAAGAACAGATTGTGGGTGGGCGTTTGGCACAGGAGTTGTGACGCTGCTTGGGACACCTGCTGGGTTTGCGTCCTGGCTTCCTGCTCATGTGCACCCTGGGAGGCATGGGGGCTCGGATGATGGGAGTTCCAGGCCCCGGCTTCAGCCTGGCCAACCTGGCTGTTGTGGGCACCTGAGGGGTGAACAGCGGATGGACAGTGTCTGTGCCTCACGTAAGATACAGATGGAAACCCAGCAGGAACAGAATCTGCGTGCACATCCTTGTGCGCGCTGGCCGCTCTACTGCCTCTGGGGGCAGCTCTCCCCTCGGGGCGCCTGCTGCATGCATCTCCTGGCCTCCCGTGCCGCTGCAGTCATGCCACTGAGTTCTGGACGCTGGAACGCGGGCAGATCCCGCTAAGGGGGCTCCCCCACCCCAAGGGCGGACCCTGAAATCCTGTGGAGTGGTAGAGTTACTAGCAGGGGACGCTGAGTTCCTGAACCACCGTGCAGAAGGGGTTGCGTTGGACTGTGTGGTAGATGGCGACAGAAACGGATCGCCGTGGTGCTGACCGACGGAGCGTGAGGCCTCCGGATCAGGCTACGCTGGAACACCGTGCAGACACAGCTCGCTCTTTTTTTTTTTTTTTTTTTTTTTTTTTTTTAAGATTTATCTATTTACTTGAAAGTCAGAGTTACACAGAGAGAGAAGGAGAGGTCTTCCATCTGCTGGTTCACTCCCCAATTGGCCGCAACGGCCGGAGCTGTGCAGATCGGGAGCCAGGAGCTTCTTCCAGGTCTCCCATGCAGGTGCAGGGGTCCAAGGACTTGGGCCATCTTCCACTGCTTTCCCAGGCCACAGCAGAGAGCTGGATTGGAAGTGGAACAGCCGGGACTGAACCAGGACCCATATGGGATGCTGGCACTGCAGGCGCCGGCTTCACCTGTGGCCCCTTGCTGTGTGTTTTTTTTTTTTTTTTTTTTTTTTTTTTTAATTTTTAAAATTTATTTGACAGGCAGAGTTAGACAGTGAGAAAGGTCTTCCACAGCCGGTGCTGCATGGATCTGAAGCCAGGAGCCAGGTACTTATCCTGGTCTCCCATGGGGTGCAGGGCCCAAGCACTTGGGCCATCCTCCACTGCACTCCCTGGCCACAGCAGAGAGCTGGCCTGGAAGAGGGGCAACCGGGACAGAATCCGGCGCCCCGACCGGGACAGAATCCGGCGCCCCGACCGGGACAGAATCCGGCGCCCATATGGGATGCAGGCGCCTAGGCGGAGGATTAACCAAGTGAGCCCCGGCGCAGCCCACTGCTGTGTTTTTAAAAAGTAACGGAGTGTGTTTAGCGGACGTCCGCGCTCCATTTGCCACATGCCCTCCACTCCCTGGTGCCTAAGCAGCAAACTCGGATTCCTCCAGACATTTGGACCGGGTCGTCTGATTGATCTCATAAAAGCCCACAGTAGGCAGGTTATGGCGTTCCGCTGACGCCAAGTGTCCACATGCTAAACGCCTCCAAATCAACTCAGAACGTCAGTCACGAAGTTGAAAAATGCAAACTCACGGGGCAATTCCACGCGCAAGGCCAGCGCGGCCCCGCAGCGGTGCGGGCCGGGAAGGCAGCCCGCCACAGCCCCGAGGCCTCCCGCACACCGCCGCGGTCACTCCGGGCCGCTACCGCCCCCTGTCGCCCGCCGTCTCCGGGGACACAGCGGCTGGCCGGCAGCTGACGGCCGCCCCTTTCACAGACGCGGAGACTGAGGCTCGGAGCGCCGCCTGGTCCCGGGTCCGCTCGGTGAAGGCCGGAACACAGCCTCGAACCCGCCGCGGGGGCGCCGGACTGTGGGGACGACGCCAGGGAGGTTTCGCACGACGGAGGCGACCTGGGGGCTGAGCTGCGGGGGACCAGGCGGCGGCTGGCGCTGGGGGCGCGCTGTCCCGCGGAGATGCGGACCCCGCAACGAGTGTGTGTGTGTGGTCAGGGCCTGCACGCCGACAGTGGCACGCGTAAACACAGAGCCCCGGTAAGCGGGGGCCGGGGCGGCCGGGGCGGGCCGAGCTCCCCACCCCTCACACCCCGTCCACTTCCCCTGCAGCGTCCGAAGGCCTCCCCGGATTCCCGGGCGATCCTGAGAGCGCGCGAGATCCCGTGCGATGCGGTCACTCTCTCGGAAGGCCACGTGAACTTGCCTCTGAGCGCGAAAAGGCGGGTGACGACCACTTTTGGCCTTTCGGAGCCGCCGTCCGGGCGCGGGCCGCGCGGGCCGCCGTGTCCCTCGACGGCCGCCGTGCGTCCGTTACGTGGCAGCCGCCCGCGCCAGCCAATCGGCGGCGCCCGCATCAGCCCCGTCGGCGGCGCAGCCGGAAGGGGCGGAGCGGCGGCGGCGGCGGCGGTGAGCGGCGGCGGCGGCTGTGGAGGCCGCGGTCCCGGTGCTGGCCTGGGCCTCCGTGCCACTATGGTGACGCTCGCCGAGCTGCTGGTGCTGCTGGCCGCGCTGCTGGCCACGGCCTCGGGCTACTTCGTCAGCATCGACGCGCACGCCGAGGAGTGCTTCTTCGAGCGGGTCACCTCGGGCACCAAGATGGGCCTCATTTTCGAGGTGGCCGAGGGCGGCTTCCTGGACATCGACGTGGAGGTGCGGGCGCGCTGCCCGCGGCCGAGGCGGGGGCGAGGCTCGGAGGCCGCCGTCCGGGGCGGGGAGGGGCCGGGCCGCCGCCCCTCGACCCGCGGGGCTCGACCCAGGCGCCTGGGGGCCCCGTCGCGGCGGCGCGGCTGGAGGCGGGTCTCGGCGCGGGAAGCGAGCGCCCTCGGTGCTGCGGGTTACTGTTGGAACGCGGCGTGGAAACTTTTGAAAAAAGTGGTCGGAAGGCAGCGAGGCGGGCCCGGCGGCGCGTGGGCGTAGACACAGCGTGTGGCCCGTGTGTCGCTCGAGCCCCCGGGGACCTGGGAGAGGGCGAGGTGCCGTCGGTCGTGCGTTTTGGGCGGAGCGGTGGCAGCGTGTCTGGAGAGAACTGGCGGTCCGCGGGGAGAACCTGTCAGCCTGGACCTTGCAGTCCGCTGTTCGGATTACCGGGGCCGGGGGCGGGCGGAGGGCGGGTGCCTGGAGCCGGCCGGGAGGGGATTTTCGGTCTCCGCCTTTCCGGTGCAGGCCTTTTCCCTCGAGGCAGATTAAACACGGACTCCCCAGACTTCTGCGTCCCTAAGCGGCTCTAATTGGGTTTTGATGGAAGCCGCTTGCTTGCTGGTGGTGGAAGGCCGGTTGCAGGCCACGTGTAAGGTGCGGGGTCCGTGTGAGGGGATTGAGGCTTAAACCGGACACGCGAGACCTCCACCCAGTCGGCGGTGACCGGTGCTTTAGAGAGCCAGGGGACGGGCCGGCTTCCAGGGAGCGGGAGAGCGTGGCCGCCCGCCGCTGTCGCTGTCGCTGTCGCCGACAGGGAGGGGCCGCCCTGTGCGTAGTGAGTGTCCGCGCCGGCAGGCGCTGCTTGCCAAGTTCGTGATGCCGAATTCTGGGTGACCTTTCCTGTCTGTCTGCCCTGCCTCCAGATCACAGGCCCTGACAATAAGGGCATCTACAAAGGGGACCGGGAGTCCAGTGGGAAGTACACGTTTGCTGCTCACATGGACGGGACGTACAAGTTCTGTTTCAGCAACAGGATGTCCACCATGACCCCAAAGATCGTGATGTTCACCATCGACATTGGGGAGGCCCCGAAAGGCCAGGACATGGAGACAGAAGGTGAGCCGCCGGCCCTGCCTTCCTGCACGCTGGTGTCTGGCAGAACCCAGCACTGGGCTCTCAAAACTCCTTTTTCCTCCCGAGGTCACCGCCCTCAAACTGTGCATCTCTTTTGAGATGTGGTTGCTACTTAGGCAAGCGCCCTGACAAGTTTCTGGAAGTTCAATCTTGGTGGCTGCCCCTTCTGGGTCACTTTCTCCCTGGTGGTCTCACGTGTCAGGTTGCAGAGTCGTGGGCAGTTGGTTGTGTTATTTCCTAATCCTGGTGTATATGACTACTGTGGTTAAACTTTTCGGTTTTTTCCTCGTGTTCACGTCTTCTGCTTCTTCAGGTGGTGGAGACACATGGGACGGTACGTGGACTGCTGACGACAGCATCCTGTTTGCCAGTGTCTAATCTCTGCTTTCCTTTTTTCTAACCTCAGTTTGCTGGCATGAGTGTGTTTCTTTCTTTAAAAAAAAAAAAAAGTGCAACTAATGAGATTGATTATTGTGGTTTTCTGTTTGGTTGACAGGAGTATGAGTTATTTTAAAATTAGTATCAGGGAGAACACAGCGATTGACTTATCAGTAGTAACATTTTTGATTCCTCACAGTGAAAACTGAAGGGTGGGAAAGAAATGTCTTAATTAAACCTAGCTAATTGCAAGTGGTGCTTGGATAACTAATCTTGCAGGCTTGTTTTACCATTCAAGTTTCCGGCTTGCAGCTTGTTTGGATATGGAATGCAGCGCTAGGAGCCATGTGCAGATAACAGTGAAAAAGTTCTCTCGGCCACATGTGTGGATAGGTTGCTTATTACCCAGCTGACCAGCAGTGACCTTGACTGGCTGTTCTGGATTAATTGCTTGTGTGTGCGCATGTGTGTGTGTTTGGGGACCACAGTATGTGTGTGTGTACACGTGCGTTTGGGGACTACAGTACCTGTGTGTCTGTGTGCATGCATGCGTGCGTGCATTTGGGGAACACAGTATGTGTGTGTGCGTGTGTGCGTGTGTGTGGACCACAGTATGTGTGTGTGCGTGTGTGTTTGGGACCACAGTACCTGTGTATGTGTGTGCATTTGGGGACCACAGTACATGTGTGTGTGCACGCATGCATTTGGGGACTACAGTACCTTTGGGTGTGTGTGTGTTTGGGGACCACAGTACATGGGTGTGTGCATTTGGGGACCACAGTACGTGTGTGTGTGCGCGTGCGTATGCGTTTGGGGACCACAGTATGTGTGTGCTTATGTGTGTGTGTGTGTGTGTGTGTTTATGTGTGCATAGGGACCACAGTACATGTGTGTGTGCATTTGGGGACCACAGTACATCTGTGTGTGCCCATGTGGGGATCACAGTACTTGTGTGTGTGTTTGTGTGTTTGGGGTCCATAGTACCTATGTGTGCACACGTATGTGTAGGGACCACAGTACTGTATGTGTGCATTTGGGAACCACAGTACATGTGTGTGTGTGCGCACATGTGTCTGGGGACCACAGTGTGTGTGTGCACGCACACATGTGTTTGGGGACCACAGTGTGTATGTGTGCATGCACACATGTATTTCTGGACCACAATACATGTGTGTGCTCGTGCGTTTGGGGACCACAGTACATGCCAGGATTTTCTAGAAGCTAGCAGTTGTTTAGCACACCCCCTTGCACTAGCATGATAACATCATCCAAGCTAGGGAATCAGGCTACTTAGTGCTTCCTGTGCTCATTTTTCAGGGTCTTGTGATGGGCAGGACTTGGCTGTTCTTGAGAATTAGGAGTTTTTTGGGGAGTGTGTTATGTTTGTTCATTTTCTGCAAGTGGGTCCTATTTACATGATTAGAAAATACTGGCCAAAGCCGGCGCCGTGGCTCACTAGGCTAATCCTCCACACCGGGTTCTAGTCCCGGTCGGGGCGCCGGATTCTGTCCTGGTTGCCCCTCTTCCAGACCAGTTCTCTGCTGTGGCCAGGGAATGCAGTGGAGGATGGCCCAAGTGCTTGGGCCTTGCACCCCATGGGAGACCAGGATAAGTACCTGGCTGCTGCCATCGGATCAGCGCGGTGTGCCAGCCGCAGTGTGGCGGCCATTGGAGAGTGAACCAACGGCAAAAAAGGAAGACCTTTCTCTCTGTCTCTCTCTCTCACTGTCCACTCTGCCTGTCAAAAAAAAAAAAAAAAAAAAATAGTGGCCAACGAACATGGTTGTTGGATGTCGTAAGTAGTCCTTGAACAGCGTTTCACCTTCTTGCTCTTGCTTGTTAATGTCAGGGAACGGCAGCTGTCAAATCCCGCCTTCCGGTACTGAGTGGTTCTCAAGGCAGGGGGTCTTTGCCTCCCAGGGGACCTTGGCCATCTCAGCAGATGCCTTGGAATCTGATGAGTCCATCAGTGGGTGGCTGCCGCTGGCACCTAGAGACTAGAGGCCGTGGGTGTGGCTGAGTCCTCCAGAAAGGCATTGGCCAGCTCCCCACGACATGGGACACGTGGCCAAAATGTTGGCAGTGCCACCCCACGAAGCCCTCAACAGAAGGTTCTGTGTGGTGCATGGGCCTTCTGAAGTGAAGCTGGTGAGGAACTTAGCTGCATTAAATGTTGGGTGGCCCTTAGCTTCTTTTTAGGAGTTTAGGATTGTGGGAATCTGGCACCCCAGGGAGGCCCTGGGTCTAGGGTGGGGGTGAACAGAGTCCCCTCATCCTGAGAATGTTCCCTTGTATTGCCTGCTTGCTCATTGCCATAGCACTGCCTAGAAACATGTGCTTATTCTTTAGAAACAGTGTTTTGTATTTTATAAATTTATATATTAATTTATTTGAGAGACAGAATTCCCATCCACTGGTCTGTCCCCCGGAGTGCTTGCAAGGGCTGGAG